AAACAGAATGGCAAAACCCATATTTTAGCTCTATGTATAACAGTAACAGAATGGCAAAACCCATCTTTTAGCTCTATGTATAGCAGTAACAGAATAGCAAAACCCATCTTTTAACTCTATGTAAAGCAGTAAAAGAATGGCAATACAAACCTTTTAGCTTTGTGTAAAGCAGTAACAGAATGGCAAAAACCCATTTTTAGCTCTATGTAAAACATAATTGATGTCTAAGTTCTTGCATAAACATTACACGTGGTATTCATTATTCTTATCCCTTTTTCAGAGTTAACAAAAATATTTTTCAAAATTCCTTCTATATCTACAAGCTATTGTTATACTTTAGTGTTTGATTCAGTATTACAGATAGCTGCCTCATACAAAATCAACCATAACTTGAAAACAAACACAAGTAATACTCTTAACTATCAAGCTTCCTTATTTTTAAAAGTTACATCTGCCAAACTTTAAAGAAATATTAAACAACAAGAACAAAATACTGTAGGGCAATTTTATTAAAAACTTGGAACAAGTTTACAGTTTGAGAAAAAGCAGAAGTGGCAATTCTGATGCTTCAGTTTATCAATTACCATAATCTCATTACTCTTTAACTGCTACTCATCTTTAAGTCCACTAATCATCAGACATCTGTCAGTATCCATTTAGTAAAACAAATCTGTGCTATGTTCTTAGTTTTCTAGAAATTTATTTCTCTTGTATGGGTAGACAACTACTGGCTTTCAAACACTTTTACAAGAAAATTTATGGCATATTTTCCATTATTTTGGGGGTATATTTTAGAATTTTAGGGACATTTATGATTATCTTAGGAAAATCATCTTTTTTCAAACAAATATCAATAAATAAACATGAATTATTTTACTTCCTCTGCATCCTAATCTTTAGCATTGATTAATTACTATTGCATACTTCATACACATTAAAAGGGTGATAAGCATCAATGGGTATTCAGGTTTTAGGTATGCAGATGATCAAGCTGGATATAAACAGAACCTGCATAATATATAGCACTGATTAAATAGATTTAAGTAGAAACATGCAATAAATAAACTTTATTTTCTCAGTAAGACATAAAATATTTAGCATTTCCAAAAACAAATTCAGGCATTTTTACGAACCACCCTTCTTACAATTTTTGGGGGGATTTTAGGAAAGTATAAAAGCCTGTAACTACCTAGTAACAACCAGTTTCTTACAGACATTATCCTTAGGATTTTTTGACAAAATATAATGCTGCTAGCACAACTGACAAGCAAGGAAGCAGTCACGGACTTGAATCTAGTGATTGTCAAACTGAAGCTAACTTAAAATCAGCAGAATTCAGCACGTCTGTTTCTCCTAAAACTATAAGCTTGTTCCAATAATTTAATAATTAGGCAAAAATATGTTGAAAATGCAATATTTTATTCCTACATCTTTCTAAAACTTAAGAGTATTAACTGTTTACTAAATATATACCTAGAAACCAAAGCTAGAAAGATATCAACAATAACTCTGTTAATAGAAAAACCAGTGACAAAAGTTTTGATGACGTGTACTTTTTCTCAAACATAGTTCTTTGTGAGTCAACCAAAAAGTACCGAGAATATCAATTTTTGTTCTACTTTTAATTCTTCTGAAACCAAACTCTGTACTATTTGAACAAACAAAGTGCATGAAGTAAACTGCTGTAGAAAAGCAGTAAAAGCCTGTTATCATTAATATACAAGTTTGTAGGTGAGACAAATGCCAAGCAGAATATATCCCAACAAAATTTTCATTCTATGAAAAAAAAGAATGATGGATACCTAGAAAACAATACCATTTCATGGTCTTGCTGGATAATATTTTGTTATTTCTGTTTGTCCTTAAATTATTTCAAACAACAATTAACAGTATTAAAGAACAGTGATAGAATGTATCACAATATAAGTAGCAACATCTGACAGATACAGAAGGCAGCATTGAAAAGGATTGGACAAGAAATATAATGTAATAACACAAGGATGACAATGACCTACTGCGATGCATGATTTTTTCTTAATCTGGAAAAAAATGCTTTTCAAGAAATTGATATTATACATAAAACTGAGAAAACTAGTTTGTACACATATACACTCTGACCAACTGAACTTGAAAATTAAATGATGAGAAATGTCAGTACACTGATAGCTCTACTCTGAACAACACACCAACAGCCACTAATGCAAGAGAAAAGGGATTAAACCAAGGTGGAAGTAATCTTTCTTCTCTGTTCTATTCCATCCTCACCAGCAACAGCTCAATAAAACTATCACTTCCTCGACCAGCATGTTGTTTCATAAGTCTTTATTTACTAAGATCCTCTGTTAAAGACTGGTCTACAAATAGTCATTTTTCTCCATCAGAGCACAGTCTGAAAGGTTACATAACAAATGGATAAGCTTTCATGTTCCAAGCTTCTTAACAAAAAGATCAATCTTATGTTATTCTCAGACACTATATCTTTCATAATCTGGAAGTCATAATCATATATTTCCTCTTCAGTACACTTCAGAAACACAAGATCTACAGAGATTGGTTTGATGCTACTCCATCCTCTAAATCACCATCTGAAAGTTACAGAACAATATAATGATTATTTTTTAGCCATGCTCCTTCCATTTTGCAATAAAAGTTGTGATACCAAATATATATTTCTCTAAAAATATCCTGCAAGTAAACTTCTGTATTATCCTAGCCACAGATTTCTTATACTACTGTATTTCCAATGAAGAAGTATTCCTTATTAACAATCAATTTTAAAACAAATGACTAAATATAATTATCTAGACATTTAACAGAAAAGCAGGAGAACAACTGTGGATAAAAGCAAGTTCCAGCTGCTTTAAGAGTAGATTATTTTATCATTTAGAGTATTATGTAGGTATATTTTGTATTCTGAATGCATATGTTGAAAAGCAAATTGTCCACTAAAGTTTAATGTCATCAATTTTGATCCTATTCATCTGACTAAAGAAAAAAGTTCTTAAAAAACTTTAACTCAATAGTATTGTTAATACAAATAAAGGATTATACAACAAAAGTAATGAAGAATTAGCAGATGAAGGTAAATTTAAGAAAATGAAATCAGATCGCATTTAAACTAGAGAAAATAATTTAAGAAAAATACAGTATTTGTTAATGCTGAAAAAAATTATATTTATAAGTAACCTTGTCTATCCACTGAATCAAACTGTGGTCTCTATTTTGCTTAACTAGACTGGTTCTTTTAGTCATGGGGCAGATGAATATTTTGTTACATTTATGAATAGCTGGTTTATATTACAAAATAATGTTTTGTGATTCTTCCAATGTAAGACCTAAAACTTAGGCCAACCTATATTTTTATGCAAGTTAATTCTTTCACATAATAAAGTTTTGACACTTGCTGTTTATAGTTTCAAGATTCAGAAACAAGAGAGGGTAGTACTAAATGTGTCTTCAAAAACCTACTTGCCTTTGTTACAAAACAGTCTCTTCCTATGTGTGATCAAACAGATGGTACAGTTAAAGGTTATGAATTAGCCTAATGTTCAGCAAATCTTTTCATATGTGTAAAGATAAAAATTAGTTAAAACTACATCAAGCCAGCCTTATGATGTCTTTAGTCATGCAGAGAAATCTATATAATAAAATACTTATTTGTGTGTCTGTTACAGAAATGATGTGTGCATGCATGAATATCTAGATGGTAAGATGCATGCACATTATCATGACAGACAAAAACTCGGTATTATTATAATAGACAAAAAGAAACACGCAAGACATTTGCACTCAAACTAGTGTCTTTACTGCAACGGTACTTCTTTAAATACAGGACTTCTAGAATAATACTTAAGAATTCTAATCACAGACACTGAAATCTGGTAAAAGTATAATTCTTCTGTCCATACACCTTATAAGCATGGACAATAAGAATTTTACAAACAATAACAGTGCAAGCACCTGCCTGTGCCAGAGAGCTGGAAAGCTCAATGAACAAGTCACTACAACTGCTCTATGAATTAAGAAAAAACAAAAAAGGTGGATGTAATTATTCTTTATTAACAACTCAGTACAAGTAAATTAAAAGATTGAAGTTTTCAAAAAAGGTCTGATGTTAGGTCCTAGAATAACATTATACGTTATTTATAGATAGTATTAAGTACTGTATAGTTTAGTCCTAACTATGCTAATGTAAAAAACGTACATGGCACAGTGTTAATTTATCTCTTTATCGAACTTAAGCCTAACATTATTTAAGGTTTTATAAAGTATGACCGAAATGCAAGTGGACTTCCACATTTTGGTGTCTATGATTAAATTTCATTTGTATTATTCTACAAATTTTGTATTTAAAGAAATACTGTTGTAAAAAAGATACTAATTTGACATCAAACATTTTCTGCTAGTTTCTTATATCTAAATAAGCCCCATCCAAGTATAAAATGACTTTGAAAGAACAGTGTAATTCCAAACATTTTATATTGGCACTAAAACTATCAATAAAATATTTTTTTTATTTGAATGCTGTTGTATGAGCACCTTCACATAACTGCTATTCAATATGTATAATTTTAGAAAGTATTTCAGAAAAATCCTTTTCATGATTGTGTTAGGACTAACATTATTCATCAATAAATTTACAATGTTAATTATCAATCCAATTATAAAATGATCTACTGCATCACATCCATTTAATCTTATCTTTCTTTTCCTAGGCTATTGAAGTAAAAGTGTAAAAAACAGTTAAACTGTTAAATATTTTGACTGAAACAATTCTTTAAGGTTAAAAACAATGCTTTAAATATCCCCGAGTTATCAACAGTCCTGCTGTTCAAACACTGTATTTAGATGTTCAACATCTGCATTCAAATGTGACACACCAGTGTAAGCTTGCCATTTTATAGCCACTGGTGATGAATATAATCATTAAATATCTACATTCTATCTAGACATTTAACAAAGAAAAGTCCACAATCACTAGTTACATTTTTACCTATCCTTTAAGCATACAGAACTTGTTGTAATAAAAAGGTTTCAGTTCATTCCTTAAGTTTTTAAAAGAACTATCTAAGACTTTAAAAAAACCAATTTCACCAATAAAGTTACAACTTTTCTTTTCAAAAAGGAAAATCAGAAACCACCTTTTCTTTTTCTTTCACACAATTTTATGAAAAAACCACATTGATAAAAGAGCTACTACTGTTACAACATTTCCTTTATTTGACCAAACAGCTTATGATCAGAATGTATAAAGCTGCAAGATTAGGATCAAGTAAGCAAAGCAGGGAAAAAATGGCTACTTTGTAGGCTGCTTGTTAATAATTGACATGTTCTCTTTTATTTGAAATTCCTTCTTAGTTTCCACTCGATAAAGAATATTGAAATCGTTAGTCCAAAAAGCTGCACTCCCCACCCCATATGATATGACAGTACACCTGCAAGTTGTTCATTATAAAATTCTGGGAGTACTCAGAAGTGTGGTCTTTCAAATATTCCAATACTTTTGCATTTACTAGATTTTGTCAGTATCGAAATATTTATCACAAATTATACATTGGCAGGATATTTGTTTGTTAAATCTTCTGATTCTGTAAACTTTGGATTTACAGGCCATTCATGATTAAAATGACAGTTACCCATTATTGCACCAATTGGTTGAAAACTTTTTTTCCACCTGATTGCACCTGAAAACACACAACTTTTTCTTCACCATCAATACCACTGCTCATGCATCCACATAAACTTCTCATATTCTCACTACCACTAACTATAGGTAGTAAATACAAAGTATCATTGGTTTGACTTTTATATAGAACTGCTTAACTAGGCCTACAATCAGTATTTTTTAGTATAGCTTAAGTGAAAATCATAAACTTATAAAACATAAGAAGTTAAAACAATGACATTTTAAACCCTACAATTTTAAGTTACATTTAGTGTTGTTGCAAGATTTGCACCTTTACAATGTTAGTAGTAAATGCATGTGTTTCTAAGGTACAGTGCATTACAATGGAACTTTAACTGAACATTAGTGCACCTAGTGCATTAGTGGAAATAAATGTCAACAATAAACAGACAGCACACAATTCACTTATTTTAAAATAATGTATTCAAAACAAGTCAAATGTACGTACCAAACTTCATTACACTAATGTATATCACAGTTGTATCAAAAGCTTTAAACGGTTCTCTTTTCTTGTCAAAAGTCCACACAGGCTGGTTTAATTTACTTTAAAACCCAACTGACAAGATGAATTATCTATCTCTCTTTCTTACTATACAATCGGTGATAAATTCACTTAAATTATTACAGTTGTATACAGAACTCAACATAATTGTCTCCTTTTTGTCAAAGTCTACACAGGCAGGTTTAGTTACTTTAGAACAACCTTCGACAAGACAAATTACTTCTCCTTACTTCTGTTAACTGTGAAACTCACTTTAAATATCACCCATTATGGCTAAACTGACAATCATGCCATCTAACTTCACATTCATCAACTTAAGTTTTTCTAACTTAACCTGCACTCACCTGGTCTCATATATATATATACATTGCCCAACAGAGGCCCTTAAGTTTCTACAAACCATGAGATGCTATGATGTAACAATACTCACTTAAGGCAATGGAAAAATACAGAAGCTATGAGTAATATGATGTCAATTTACAACTGAACTACACAAGCAATGTACGATTCTTACCGAGTTACACAATGAAATTTGTCATAACTATCGCCTTTAAAATAATTAACACTCATAAAATGTTATGAATTCAGTATACTTTTAAAATTCTAAAGTCTAACAACACTTAGTGACTTTTTCAATTATGATACTTGTGATTCAGTATAAACAGTAGAGCATAATATCTTAACATATTTCAAGTGGGAAGTAAGTACATTAGTTAGCTGGTTCATGTATTATAAAGTAGGTTTTATGAAATTTGTGCATGGAAATTAAACCTGTTTCTTTACCTATAATATGTCAGATAACTAATGCCTAGATAGGAGTGATGGCAGCAGAGACATTTGCAGGAGAAAAATATAAGGTGATTTTGTTTTAACATCACCAGCAACAAATTTTCCTAGATAGCAAAATGCAAGCTGAAGCAAGGTGGAGGAAAAAGCTTTAACATGAGAAGCAGAAAAAAGAGCTAATGCAATGTACACAGTCGAGTAACAAAATTTCCAGAGTTACCGAAGTCTCCTGGTCATTATCGCCTGAATTAGTCTGCCGGCCTCCTTCATTTATCCACAATGGTTGGAAATCAGGACACCGGTCTGTGAATGAACATACACGTGTTATCATACTATATTTCTGTTAGAATCATGATGGGCCAAATTTCTGTGTTGTTACAATCAATAAGCCTACACTTTTATTTGTCTGGATGACAGGTAGGTAGTGTCCATTAACTAAGAAACACTTTTCATAAAAGTAAACAAGACTACACAATTTAGATGTTTAATTTTCAGAAGAGTTTTGCTTTTCCTCTGTTGGTTTCTTTTGTATGTACAATATGCCTACTCTACAAAGTCACAAAAAAAAACAGTGGTGAATAAAAATGGTCACGTGTGAAGTAGTGCATGAATCCTCCCAGTTTACATAGCAGTGTTCTGCTTTCAATACATCAAAAATTACAGTAAAATTATACACACAGTTTCACTGAGACTAATATGATGTACTGATGAAACCGGTTTTTCATTTTGACAGCCCTATTCCCACCATTGTAAGACAAGAAATGATCTAGATGAATTCTATATGTACATTGTTTCTTGTTCATTATGCACAATAGAATATTAGGAAAATATTGCTCCTTTGAAATAATCTGTTCAGTGACATAGCTTCAATTTTAATAAAATAAATAAAAGGTTTTAACACAAAGGAAATCTTTTTCACCATCTTTATTTTGTAATGAAATAGATAAAATACATTGGATGATGTATCTACTCTTCTTAAAAACTGTAATGAATTATACATCATCTACTTACTAGTTAAAACATGATGCCAAAAAACCTACTGAGCTAAGTACTATAATAAAACATCTGGTCTGCTTACTAGTTAAAACATGATGCCAAAAAACCTACTGAGCTAAGTACTATAATAAAACATCTGGTCTGCTTACTAGTTAAAACATGATGACAAAAAATCTATTGAGCTAAGTAGTATAATAAAGCATCTGAGTCTACTTACTAGTTAAAACATGATGACAAAAAATCTATTGAGCTAAGTAGTATAATAAAACATCTGGTCTACTTACTAGTTAAAACATGATGACAAAAATCTATTGAGCTAAGTAGTATAATAAAACATCTGAGTCTACTTACTAGTTAAAACATGATGACAAAAAATCTATTGAGCTGAGTAGTATAATAAAACATCTGAGTCTACTTTGTAGTTAAACATGATGACAAAAATCTATTGAGCTAAGTAGTATAATAAAACATCTGAGTCTACTTACTAGTTAAAACATGATGACAAAAAACCTATTGAGCAAAGTAGTATAATAAAGCATCTGAGAAAGAACTTAACTTGACTTACCTGCTTGATGTGGATTTATTGATAACCCTAGTGTGTTATGCGTCTGTTCATATTCCAATACTTCTTGGTATATTAGTGCTGTAATTCAAAACACACATAAAAATAACTGTCAAATGAGGTGTAATTATACTCAGTGAGTATTTTAAGATTCAATATTTCCAACACAAATCAAAGCAAGTACAAATTAAAACACAGAGCACATCAAAATAAGAATTTAATACATGGTCCAATATACAGCAATTTTTTCAACTTTCATATCTATTGTAAACAAACTCAAGATGAGTGTACCAACTCACCACCCAGTAGTAAAGTGATCAAACTGCTTTAATTTTTCGATGGTAGCATTTTTGTATCAATTCCTATTAGTGTAATGGAGAAAAAGTTTAAGAAAAGAAAATTAAGAATGATAAAAAAAAAGAAACAGCATATACACTCAATCAGGATTTCTCAAAGAGTGAGTCATGACCCTAGTGGGGTTGTAAACACTTTTAAAATATTTCATATTTTCTGTAAAATTTACAGAAAAAAATAGCAATAGTTTATTACATTTTACTTTATAAAAATAAAATAATAGAAATACTTTAATTCTTCTGCAAAATGGGATTTTCCATATTGTAACACAAGATAAAGGAGTGTCAACAACTGAAACAAAACTAAGGCTAAAACTAACCACACTTGAAGAAACTATTGTCAGTAAAACAAAGAAGCAGCTTCCATGAAAAGTGTTAAGTCACAGTTCTCCATCCACATGTATATAATTTAGTAATTCAATGTGTTTGTTGCATGCCCATACTATCAAAAAGTTTCATACATTATTATTATTGTTATAAATTCTTGAAATTTCTTTAATGAAGGATCATGGCAAAGACTCATGCCATGAAAAAGTATAGAAACTAATCCATTAAATTTTTCCTACATAATATTTACTTACAGAAGTTTGCATCACTTCTCTTCCATCAGAATAACAACACATTCAGTTGAGAAAGTTTATAAGTTCCCACAATGTTTAGACACAGTATCCACAGAAACGTTTATCTTTCCACTGCTCTACTGTATATTTCCCACAATACTTTCTCACACAATATATTGTTATGACACCAGAAGTCACGTGATGCTAGTAACATGTCATGTTATTGTAGAAGGATCATGTCTGTTCGTGGCAACTCTGGTCTTTTCTACGCGCCCTCTATTCTTATATATATAAGTGCGCCAGATAAAGTGAAATTAATTAATCAGAATAGAATTGCAGACAGACAGA